GCTTACTATTAGCACAAAGAAAGCCACCGTCTGTAATAGCGAATGCATAAAGCATTATAGTTAAACACACGAACAAAACTCGAGACGTGATAAGCAGCAGAACAAGGCAACAAATAATAGGTATAGACTCGTAACCTCGAGAATCAACAAGACAAAGACCAAGTTATAATAAAGCGTCATTTTGTTTTTGTTGCGTTAGTAGTGTCAGAGTCTTTCTCACTTTTTCAATGTTTTTCTGCGAAAAAGGTAGTCGCTAAAATTGTTCAAGGTCGTTTTTCATTATTGCGCGAAGAATACGTCAATTTGCATATGAATCTGGCACATGTGTTGGCCTAATTTCATTTGCCATCGCCAGATCGGGGTCTTATGCGGAACAAACTCACGTGCAAACCGATCGAGAAATGCATTGTCTCACTTTCCGTTTTCTGAACTGGTCTCATTCTTTTTCGTTTTATTTTCTTTCTCGTCCAAGTATTCAATAATGCAACAGATCACCTCGTTTCTGCAAAGGCGGCATATTTTTGGAAACTATAAAGCTATTATCAATGTTGTTCGGTATAAAGGTATTTACACTTGACTCTATGGAACAACTACCAAATCTCGGAAACAAAGCTTTCCCCTGTCAACAAGAACAAAATGTTTCAATGCTGCACTCGAAAAATTAGTATATTAAAAATTCCCTTTTTTCTCTGTTGACAGGATTTCACACATCGCTAATACGGCCCGCTATCACAAATTTTACAATGCCTGCACTTTCTCCGACTATGACGGAGGGAACTATCGTCTCATGGAAGAAACAGGAAGGTGAGGCGCCGAGACGCGTCTTGTTATAAAGAAATCCCAACTAAGATTATCTGAAGTTTATATCGGACTCTGATCTTGAATAAGGGCAGAAATATTCGGCTGGCGAGGTATTATTAGAAATTGAATCGGACAAGGCGCAAATTGAAGTAGAAGCTCCAGAGGACGGTCTCCTCGCAAAGATTCTGGTAATAAAAAAAAACCGAAAACGAAAACCTCACTTTTTCTTGTTAATTTGTTTTCGCATTTGTTCATAATAATTTTGTACTCTTATGCGGCCAAAGATACCTGGTGGACAGAAATGCGCTGTTGGGTCTGTCATTGCTTTGACAGCTGAAGAAGACGATGATATATCCAACCTGGAGATTCCTGATACGGCAGCA